GGCCCAAGGACCGAGCCCTGGGGGACTCCACTGCCCACACAAAGGGGATGTTTGTGGCCGCCTAAAACCTCTTCTAGCAGGGCACAGGTTCCTCCCTGAAGGGTTGAAATTAAAATTAATAGTAGAAGGATGATCTTTGGGGTGTCAGTATCAGGGTTTCTGACCTGGCATTGATGTTGTGAGCTTCATTCGTGGAATGGAAAGGCTTTTTCCAAGAGGACATTTCTCTGGCTTTCCAGTGACTTTTCTTCATCCTGGTCTCTGCTCATTTTCAGTATCAAGCTTGTACTGTACAATTATGGAAAAGATGAATTTAACATCTCTCATGAAAAACAAACCCACCACTTCTCCCCATGTCATAGGAACCAAGGCCAAAGGGGGAACGGTATGAAATGGGAGGTCTTGTGGGTACAGCGCTGATGGGTACAAGTGGTACTAAGGGGACTGGAAGTTTGTGTGCTTGGAATCGCTCATAAAACCTTCTAGTGTGTGTTGTCTGGGCTGCTCATTTCCTAAGTGTGAATAGTTTTCTGGGATTTTTGATGGTGCTCCTTTCAGCCTGGCAGGGATGGGAGCCTAGCAGCCCAGTAAGAAGCCTTGCTGCCTCCAGAGGCATGAGTGAGAGCTCCACTCCAGACTTGTGCAAGGGCTGTTTCCAGTTGTAAGTGGCTGTGTATCATCATTTAGGCTGGGGAGTTTAAGGTAACTGGATGCAATGCTGGCTACATCCCTCCCTTGTGCACCATGGATTAATCATGTTAGGCAGATGGACAACTAGGCACAGGCAGGTCCTTGATTTTCTTTCAGCCTGAAATTCTAGGAGGGAAGGGGAAAGGGCATAGTTAGTTCTTCATTCATCGCCTGTGCTGGGACTGGTCTCTAAATGGATTCCTCTTGTTCACAGAGTGGAGGTGTGCCAGGACTACGTGGAACCCCGTGGAAGAAGCATGCTACCAAGGAGGCGCCCTACCTACTACACCATCACTGTCCCCAGCTACTGCTTTCCCCTGCCTAAGCCCAGCGTGGTCTCCAACCCCACCTATCACTCCAGCTCTGAGGACAGCAACTCAGACGTCTCCAGCATTTCATATGCCACCTCTCCTGGCAGCAGCAGCCCTGACATCTTCCTGAGGCCAGTGCCCCCACCAGCTATTGAGCAGCCCTCTCCAACATTAAGGGGCCAGATTGTTGACAGGCCTGGAGCAGTGTATTACTACCAGACCTCCCAGCAGCTACTGCTGCCTCCTTGCTGCATCCCAACCGTGGAGTATGTATCTGAGAGCCGCATGGTGGCTGCAAGGGAGTTCAGCTGCAGCCGCCCTTCCCTGGGCGCCGGTGGGCCACCTCTGTTTTCCTATGAGGAGGACAGGGTGCCCATGTGCTACCAAAGACTGGTGCCCTCCCAGAGCAGGATCGTACGCACCCCATCCCTCAAGGACTATGCTACAGCCAGAGGCAGGACACTTTCCAAATCAGCTGTGACGGAGGAGCTGAAGTCATGGCATGAACGCACCAAGCTGAGGAACTCGCGGCCCCATTCGCTGGACAGGCAGGGGACTTTTCGAATGTGCAGTGGGCCAGGCAGGGAGCTGTATGCCTTGCGATCCCCCGTGCAGCGAGTTCAGGTAGAGCACCCTGGGGAGCAAGAGCCAATGCAGAGGGCAGTGCTCTGCCAGGGACACTGCATGACGATGGGAAATAGTGGACTTCCTACCACACTAGCTTCTCATTTGCCAGGGGGTAAAGTAACCAACTATCCTGGATTTTCCAGGACATCCCCAAATTTCAGGGCTGTGTCTTGGTGTCCCCAAGGCTCCCTGAAAAAGGTTCTTCATCCTTGCATGTGATAAACTGGTCCCAGATCAGTGCCAGGCAGTGTCCTGAGCTGGGCCAAAACTGTGTCCCCCCAAATTTTGCTCCCTGAAAATTGGTCATTTTACTTAGCACGTTGCAGAAGCTTGGGGTGCCTTGCCCGCTGGTGCCCAATGAATATGAGCTGACAGGAATGGGGGAAGGTGGAAGGGGGGGAATGCAGGAATGGATTGCATGTTAGGCTCTGCCAACTCAAGTTAAAATTTCTACAGATTAAATAGGCTTGTGAGTCTTGTTCTAATCCCTAGAAGGAATGATGTCCACATCATGCTACTGCCAGACACAGAACAGCGAGTGAAGGGAGTCCCAAAGTGTGAAAGAGGAAGAAGGTTAGGATGGAAGGGCATGGCAGAGCTATAAGGGGAAAACTACTAGTATACTGCCTGTTAAACTGTGGTTGCCTTAGCCACTGCTCTGCACCCTTGCTATCATGTATAGGAGCAGCAAAGCATGGAGAATGGAAGTGATTTAGCCCCAGGCCTCCTGACCTCCTGTGTCCCCATGTGCTGTTTACCTTGTAATTAAATGGTTAGCAATTACCAGGCATGGGATCAGCCTTGAGAGGATAGTAACTCACAGCCTCTGTTAACGACGCCCTCTAGCACAGTAAATTCATCCTAATTTGACTGGTAAACAGTAGTGATCCTGGCTTGGTATTTATGGCTTTGCTGAGAGAGTTGGATCTTTGTTTCCAGGGTCAAGGAATAAAAAAAGAGTCACAAACATGTAGAACTGAGACCATCAGCTAATGACTACTGTTGGTCACTCTTGCATTGGAGCAAAACGCAGGCACAAGACCATCTCTCCTACGAATTTACTCCAGTGTATCATTTCCGTGTATTCTCTGCTCTGTAAAGAAATGATGCTAGTAAAATATTTGTGACAGAATGGTGTTCAGGCCAAGATTTGTGACACTTTGCATGTAGAATAGCAGCATCGTATACTGCCTTAGCTAGATCCTAGATCTAGCTGGTGTAAATCAGCATCACCGGCTCTAGTGGAGCTATGAAGAGTTACATCAGTTGGGGGTTTGGCCCATTGACTCCAATGACACCACTCCAGTTTAGATCAACCCAGACTCTGGACCTATACCTTTAAGGCTACTTTAATAATATTGTAATGTATTTGAGCACGCATTTGAAATATCCGTGCAGTGTCTTTAACTAATTATTTAACACAGAAACCCTTCCAAAACTTGCATCTCTTCTTCTGCAATCTCTTGCAGTCAAGGATGATTGTTTTCCATATTTGTGGGTCTGAAGATGGCTGAGGAGGCCAATCTGGGCTCGACAAACCCTGTTGCAAGATCCAGGATCGACAGTTTCTGTTGCAAAAAACGTGCATCTATACCTATGCAGAAGAGGAAACTAGTTAATACGCATCAGAGGTGGCTCCGCCAATGCCCTTAAATCCGAACTCTACTCCCATTTTGAACCTTCAGGTTCCCTTCCTACGTACAGTTCTGTGACACATCATCCCTTTCAGGGATTAGAACAAGACTCATGTGTTTTATTTATTTGTGGGATTTTTTAAATTTAGCCCTCCGAATTCACTAGCTTGAAGTTGTCACTTTTAATGTAGCCTCTTGTGGTGCCCTCCAGTGCCTTTTGGGTGGAATGAGACAGGGTGTGGGGTCCTGTTATGCCAGATGCAGTATGGATGCCTACACGGGGCAGGCATTGTGCATTGATCTCTAGATCTGATGTACAGGTTGACTGCGCCTTTTCCATTACCATTAAGAAGCTCTTTCCTTTGCCCTGTGCAGGTCCCTCAGATCCATATCCTGAAGCGGTCCCCTGAGGGAGCCCCTGTGCAAGTCTACATGCCTGAAAATGGTGAGATCATCACTCAAGTCTAGAGCCAACACTGCATCTGCTGCCATCCTGCCTAGCTGACTGCCTTCCTTCCCAGACTTCCTGCCTGAGAGAGTGCCAGGCAGTCCGAGGCACCGAGCTCCTCAGTCTGCCACCCTCTAAGCTTCTTGGGATGATCAGACAGCCATCTGCAAGCCATATATTTGTACTGAGACAGAGGCATGGGCACTTCCTGCCTTTGTCCCCCATTACCCCTGGAGGACACCACTGTGGGAACAGAGTCCAGACCACACTAATCCCGACTGTGTCCTTCAAACATAGCTGTCATCTGAAAGACCTGGATTCATTTTGGCATATTGTTACCCTCTCTGCTCCTCTTTGGACGGAGGGGCAAACGGAGAACTGTTGTGTACGCTCCCCACCGTGTCTTCTTTTCACTCTCATCCTATTTATTTCTCTATCTGTAGAGAAGCGTGAGAAGTGAGCTCGCTTTGGACACAGTGTCCTTTCTGTATCTTTTGGGGAAGGATTGATCCAGGAACAGTGTGCGGGCAAGACAAGTTTTGAAGCCTTCATTTGGATCTCAGAGGCAAAGGGACCCACTAGATTTCTTAGCAGAGTAGCAGAGAGCAAGTTGTGCACATGGTGACAAAGACCTTTGCTTTGGAAGGACAAGGGGCAACAGGTCCATCTGATCCCTGGGTAATGATTGGCTACAAATGCAGGAGACTGCACTAAATGGCTCCAGAGGCTTTCCTGGTATTTTTCCCCAAGGAGACCACTGTATTTGGTTTGTGGATGTGTTTCAGCTGATAAGATTATCAGCAGTTTTGCACTGAGACCTTGCAAACATTTCCCTGGTGATGGCATTTTGCTAGGACATAGGCTGCTGCCCAAATGGTACAGGATCATTTCAAGTGTGCCAGGATTCGGGCAAGTGCTGATAAATTCTCCCTCTTAATTGATTCTGCAAAGCAACTGCTAGTTTGCAGAGCATGGTGCAAACAGTGCATCCCTGCAGAATGCAGCAGGAGTGAGCCAGCCTGTCAGTATGTCTGCATGTAGGGGGAATGAAAGGAAAAAAGAGCTGGCTGCTAGTTTCTCTGCACTCCTACGAACGACTCCAACTCTCTCACTGAAGAGGAGCCATGAATCTTGCCATCTTCCAAGGCTTTATATATTCTTTTCAGTTTTATGGAAAAATGTCTTTACGACCAGGATACCTACCAAGCTTTGTGGGCAGCAGCTGATAGTAGATGAAGTTTACAATTCCACTTTATCTAGGTACTTGCATCAGTCCCAGCAAAGCCGGTGCCTTCCGAGACTTTGTGGATTTAACCTCAGAATACCCCTGGGGGACAAGAAAATGGTATCCTCACTTTACACATGTGGAACCAAGGCAGAAAGTAGTTGAGATGACTTGATTAAGGTTGTGCAAGAAGATCTGTTGTGGAGTCAAAAACAGAACCCTGTTCTGTCAACTACCTGCCGAGTGCCTTAGCCGCAAGACCATCCCTAAAAGGGAAATGCACCGTGAGCAGAGGAAATGGGGTTGTTTCTGTGTCTTTGAGTAATCCAGAAAGCTGCTGACTTTGCTCACAGTGGCTTTTCATAGTGCTGGCAAGAAGTCTAAGCTTCTGAGATCCAATGGACAACTGGCATTTGCTACCTTTGTGGCTGGTCAGGTGCTTTTCACTAGGACTGGTTTACCATGGAGTGTCAAAAGCATCTAATAGAAACATGCCCCGGGTTTAATAAGCCAGTTGTCTTGGAGCAGCCAGCTGGGCTCTTCCTTGCAACTTCTCCAGATGTCCATGAGCATTAATCACCTAGGTCAGTGTTTCCTGAACTCTGGGGCAGGCCCCACAGGCAGGAGGAGGGGAAAGGGCTTGGGGAGGGGGTGAATGTTCCTATAAAGGTGCATGCAAATCATGGTGACAATCAGCTGTGTCCTTCCCCATTCTTCAGCTACTCTTATGACCCCCTACTTCAGCCAGCAATGCCCCTTCCCTTTGCTGCCAGGTCTCATGGCCAATTGCTGCCAATTTCCCCCACCGGTGAGGGGCATCAGCAGCAGTTTGGAACTGGTGGCAAAGGAAACAGCAGCAAGAGAAGTGGTGGCTGCAGCTGAAATAGGGAGGTGAGAGGTCTGGGAAACACTGAGGCAGGGTATAGATGGATGTAACAACTTCAGTATCAAAGGATACCAGGATAAGCTGTTATCCTGCTACTGCTACACTTGCATAATTCCGCAGTGAGTTTAACCCTGTTTCATTCAAGGTCAAAGTC